TACTTTTGCAGCGCTAATCGCTGTCACTATCCATTTAAATCCACACATCTCCAAATGTTATGGTTATTAAAAAAAAAATTCAGACAAGCTGAATGTCATGTCTGTGGGTTGAAAAAAAATGATCCTACTTTGTAAATCTTAAAGTTAATACCCATTTAATTATCATTGGTGATTTTCTAAGCTTGTGAAAAGCTCATGTTTTGGACATGCACAGTTATTACAGAGCAGAGTAATTTAAACAATAGGCAACGTACCCTGGTCCCGCTGCATCTCTGAATCAAAACAGAAGACCTTCTATGATGATGTCGTAAAGCAGCGTGGGATCTTGGGAGTTGTTGTCCTCAGATTCGACAGTTACGAGTCACCAATACAAGGAAGAAATTGCAGACATGGCTAACTGGCTAACATTGTGTTTTCCCTTCTGCATTCATCATTTGCCCCTGAAGTTGAAGCAGAAATTTGCAAAGCGACGGGTAAAGCTGATATGACGCAATTAAAGTGTGACCAAAATTAAACATGTTCTTACCTTGAATAAAATTTGAGATTTCTCTGGGTTTGAAAATTGTTGGAAACATTTTGGATAATGCGTGTGCACAAATCAAAAATATATATCACATCTGTGTGATAATTTGTCAAGGATTCATCATATATTACATTTTACGTATAAATAGTTAAGCTTTTCAAGTTTCATTGTTTCCTTCCGTTCTTCTTCCTTTTTCTTCTGTCTTTTGTTTCCGGAAAAAACCACAGTTCCTCATATTTTAGGCTTGACCCCCAAATTTTTTTTAAGCGTCACTTAACTGCCCCATTGAAAGCATTAAAGAAAATAGGAAAATTCATAAATTGAATACGTGAGAATGTACAATCAGAAAAAGGGAGCTTGCAGAGAGCAAAATAACAATACAAGGTAACGAAGAAGCAGCATGGAGGAGGAAATGAGAAAAAGTATTATAAAGCAGAGAGGGAGGAAGGATAGGGAAGGGTAGCTGCTGGGGGGTGGGGGGTGTATGCGTTGTGGGGGTGAGGGATGGGGAGGGGGTGAGGAGCATTTGAGGATTCATCTCTTGCTGGATAATTCCCAGGAGGATCTCTCTCCAACACTTGAAAGCTGTGAAGTGTGCGGTTCTGCTCATACTCCTCCTGGTAATTGGAAGAGGAGAGCAGAGGAGGGAGGGAATGTGGGAGGGAGGGAGAGGAGGGTCAGGTAAAGGAGGGAGGTAAAAAAGAGAAGAGGAGGAGGGAGGATGAAGCAGGTAAGGATTTGGAGACATAGAGGGACAGGGGGAGTGGTAAAGGTATACGAGGGGGTTAGGAAGAAGAGAAAGGCAGAAAAAAAGCCACCTGACTAGAGCCATCTTTCTTTGTTCGCCCTCTCATTTTTCCCCCCAACCTGGCATATATCTCTTTTATTTTTGCTCATTAGCTCACCCCTCTTTATTCCCTTTCTCTCTATCACTGTCCTCATCCCTCCCTCCCTCCCTCTCTCCCTCCCTTAGCCAGCAATGGCGTGTCTGTGGTTGCAGGCAGCTTCTGAAACATGGCCACAGGCGTTTAATCATTGATGGAGTTTTTTTCCTCCGTGCAGGCAGGCCAGCGGGCAGCCCCAGCTCACTCACATGCATCAGGACCTGCTGATTCACTCTCTGGGGCTTCACAAACACATACACACAAGCACACACACACACACACACGCACACAGACACACACGCACGCACACACACACAGACATGAGTACAAAAGGTAGAGATGCACGCACATAACAGTAGCACACAGACACAGATAAAATGCAGTCTGTGTGTGTGTGCATGTATGTGTGTGTGTGTTTGTGTGTGTGTGTGTTGTGTGTGGCTATCCGCATGTGTACCAATCCCACCAGGGATTGCGAGGCCCAATCAGCAGCAGTGAGCCCAAATAAAAGCAGCGAAGATAAAAGCAATTTGTTTGACCAGTACAAGGAGGCAGAGACGTGTTTGTATTGGCTCCAGGCCTGCACACCATATACACCCAGACTCTCTACAGTTTATCCATCCCTCAGCTAGACTCAGTAAACATCTGGCTGTGTTAGTTTCTTAAAAAGTAAATGTACTCATACAGCTACTGTATGTTTCTACTGTATGACCAGCGTCATTCCAGAGCAGCTATTTTATTTTGTTCCCTGTTTTGATATGGAGCGGGAACTCTTTATACAGATTTCACATCAGGTTCAATGTCCTGCTCTCAAGCTGTGTAACCCATGTCAGACGTACAGATGTTGGTGTAACATGTACAGATGTTGGTGATCCATTAAAGCCAATGTTGGTCATCTTGGAAAAGCTTTCAATAGCAGGCTACAATAGTGTTTCCATCAGGCAGTCATGGCATGGTAACATGCCAAGATAAGATGGTAAACAGGACAAACATTACACCTGGACTGTGTCTGAAATGACTACTACTCCCTATATTAAAACATTTTACATAGAACAATTTCAAATGATGCAACCGTCACTTCCCACATGCCACACGTGTCCTTTAGCATCTGTGGGCATGGTTGCTTAGCAATATATCCACGAGAGGGCAGCGCAGGGTCTGGAGAGTCTAACAAACTTGGTGACAGTGGAGATTGTTTGTATACGTGGGCGAAGTAACATGATACAGATTCCTGTAGTTATTTACCATCTTGTAAAGTCTCTTCTCAAAACGTTATTCCACTGTTCAAATGTATTCCTCGTGTCTTATGGTTGTCTCGCTTGAACTATTCGCTACACTGCCCCCCTCGATCTCTGGTGGTAGTGCTCCGTTTTTTCTTTACGTCTTTGCAGTGAGCGTCCAATTCAGATTATAGACACTTATCGTTTGGCCTCGTCACTGACAGACTATATGGCTCTTTGCAATGCTGCACAATAGAAGAGCAGATTTCTGAAGGCGCTTTGTTGTGCTTTTTTCACCCAACAAGGACTCCTAAGTAAAATGGCAGATACTTTGTACTGTGCACCAACGGTTTTGGATGCTCTTCATTGGAAAAAGCTGAAACCAGCAGGTTCACAGGCAAGAGATTATTGAGAAACGATGGAGACGTCTGTGTTGAAATAGAACATTGTGAATTTCAGGTGTTGCTGCTTGCTTGTAGCTAAGATCCAGACAACTCACCCTTTTTGGTGAATTCACTCTTTTTTGCAATAAATCTGTGGCACTGGAAGACTATGAGTACATCATGGGATTGAACAGTGTTACTTTCATTTGATAA